AGCGTAGCAGATGCTGCAAGAGCGAGCTCCGTGCTTTCAGTGTCCCTGCCACGCACGCGCGCTCGCTCGTGCAGTGCGAACATCGTTCAGGAGAACACGCTTTTACAAGTAGCTTCGGCTTCGCTATCACAAAAAGTAAAAAAAAAATATATATATATATACAAAGAAGACTAAAAAAAAGAACGTGCTCACTCAGGCTACGAAAGAAAGCAATACAAATAATAAAGCCGAAAGAAATGTTTGATGGGACACTAAGGTCACAAGCTGCATAATTAATAATTATTTTTAGACGTTTTGTTATCGTGCATCTACAGATGCTGACAGATGCTTGTATTCGAACGTGGCACGTGCATAATCGAACGTCTCAGCGCCGCTTTTATGGTTGTATCGCGTAGATATCATGCGGCCAGCAGAACATGGTCGCGTCTTGCGGACGCGCTCGCGCCCCCTGCCCGATAGCAACGGGTCTATGGGCGACGTGCGCGATCGAAAGCGTCGCTGTGGTCGGCCTTCTACGATTGGCCGAATGCTGACTATGACGTCGGGAAAGGATTTGTCATCGACGGAAATAAAAGGAATGGAAGAACTTTAATTTTGACGGTGTTGGCGGTGTTGCTTTGAGAGTGCAATGATTTCAAGCTTCCACCATGCTAGTTATTACAAACACCATTGAATTTGTTGTTCGCAAGGTGATGACGTCACGAGAGGGAACCATAGGAGGGTGCCACCAAAACATCTCGCCGCTAATAGACCTATTGCTAAGTTAGCCAAGCATCAAGATTCAAGGATAATCCAGGGAATGCTGTTCCACGCGCCACATGCGCACGCCTTCCCCGTATAAAGGAATCGAAGTAGATAACCAAAATAAAGCGATGACGAACGCGCGTGCAAGATGCAATTTGTTTTAGGCATTTGCTAGAGAAAGTTTACTACTGCTGAGGCCAGCACGTGCGGTGCGTGGAACACCAATCTCTGCATTCTCCTCGATGCTTGGGTAATATAGCAATAGGTCTATTGCGGTGACTCGTGTTTCCAGACTGTCTTTGGTATGATGTATGATTAGTGTGACCCCGACATTAAAGGGGCAGTCAAGTGGTTTTTGAGTTCGTGTTTTGATAATGACAGCTGAATTTAGACGCCTTAAGTATCCCTAAAAACCAAAAAGTATAGTCATACGGTGATTATTTCTTTAATAAAAATGTAATTGAAGGCCGCCAAACCTCGGATCCATCCGAAAACGAAACCACTCTCATTGGTCGTCGCACGCTTATCAAAAGGATCTCGGGCCAATGGCGTTGGACGACGTTCCGTCGCGCAGTGATCCCGAGGCACGTCCCGAGGTATAGCCAGTATAGCCGCATCGGCCGAACCTCTTTGTCATTCGAGCTTCGATCATGGCGGAGTTCTCCACGCTCGAGGACCTGACGCCGTTAGAGGTTGAAGCTCTTCGGCGGACAGCCGACCTGGGGATGATTTCCTATGACGCCACTCCGACGTGTGATGTGGACGATAGCAGCGCTTCGGAGTCATGTTCGGATTCCGAGGACGACGAAACGCAGACCTTTTCGGGCGTTCTTCGATTTGCGGTTGGGGCAAGTCGTAACCAAACCAACGTTTGACATCGCAGCGTTACCTCTGGTGCGTGATGTCAAACGATGTCGCCACGTTGACTTTCGCCTCGGGAGAACGGGGGGAAGGCTGGTTCAGACATGTGCAACGAGCGCGTACTTACGACTGCGTCCGTTGCAACCGGAGCGACCGGATCGACCGCACTGCGCCGCGCGTACACACACCTGTAACCACTACAACAAGCGCAGCGGGTCGTCAGCACGGCGACCGCTTCTGTACGCCGCCGTCAACTGTGTCAGCGGCCCCTCTAAAAAAGGGGACGCACTGCTACTCAATGCCGTAACAGAATATAGACAGACAGTTTTCTAGTCTAAAGCTTTATTATTTTTTCTTGATAGGCTTGCAGGGTACAGCGAATGAAAAAAATAAAATAAAAAGATGCAGCGCCGTCTTGGACGATCACGACTCTAATACACGACATTGCAATAGTACAAATATCGCCACACGCCTTTTCTACGATTATAAAAGACAATGTAATCTTAGCAGCGATATAGCAACGTAGAAATATGATTTCGTGATCAGATAGACGTTGCGAGCGTTCAGGATTGCTAACACTAATCACTTTTCTCCGGTGATGAAAACGCGTGAAAATTCGTATCCTTTATACGGTACGCGCCAGTAATACCTTGAACTTGAGCACACGCATGAAATGCGCCAAATCAGAAATCCGGGCGATGTTCGAGGACACAAATGCTTAGAAAGCACCACTGTAGTCGAAGTAAACAAACACAACGGCACGGGCGTTTCTGCCGTCTTGAGAGTGCCGCGACGACATCGCCGCACGAGTAGGTGGATGTTCCCTTCTAGTACGTGCTGGGTTATCATAGCGAAACACGACGAAAATTCACAGTCAAGGATAGCACTTTTACGCGGAACGATGAGCTTTCACCAGGCCGTCCATTCCGACGATCACCACCGACGCCACGTTTGCGGATAGAAGGAGCCGGCCGGCCCGCGACCGGCACGACCGACGGACCTGCAACGCGCGGAGATACGTGCGCTTCCGCGCATCCCTGCGGAACGGGAAATTCACCCCCCGCGGAGGAAGACAAATAGAAAACGTAGTCCCTTGTTTGTGAAACGATAATTGCGCTATCGCGTATTCTAAACTAGAAATATTTTACGTCTTGTGAAATTATCACGCACAACATATTTAAATGAACTGAAAATTGTTTTTTTAGCGAAACTTTAAAAAGACCGCCAAAATTTTCAAACATACGATAATTTCATTGGTCCTCGCAAGTACAGAAAAGAGTCCGCACGTATTTTATTCCTGCGTGATTAATAGGCGTTTCTGCCTTCTAAAACTGAAGATACTCATTCACTGACACTTCCTTAACACCATCGCACCAAAAAGTAGCTTCTCCAAAAACCGCTTGAGTGTCCCTTTAAGGGTTCTTCGGCTTGTCCATATTTTGCACCCTAAAATGTTACTTTAAGCACCCCCTAGAAGGGTCCTTCGTGAAAAACCTAGAAGGGGTACTTTTGAAGGGGCAGTGAAATGAATTTTTGGGCTGGCATGAATAATTTTAGATTAGAATCTTACTAATCGCATATCGTTTCGTGGACCAAAAGAAAATGGGTAGAAAGTGAAAAGCCCACTTTTCGGTACGAAAATTTGAGAATATATCGGACATATTCGTACTTCCTTTCCTTCGAAAGCTTTCCGCTTTTTCACTGTGATACATCCGCGGTACCCGAGGCACGTCAGCTGAATTCAGCTCACACATTGGGCACGATCACTGCGTGACTCGGACGTATGCGCTCGTCAACAATCCATCCGTCGACGAGTATTTGAATTCGCGTTCGTGGACGATGAGTGCCCTGACGGCACTTGCCAGCGCTTGAGAATGACAATTGTTCCATGATGTGCTTGAAAATGACAATGGAAGCTTGGACTCATCGCACCGGTGCCAGTGCGTCAGGACCGCGTGATTTCTCATTTCGCTTTTGAGCTCAGGATTAAAGCAAAGGAGGAAGATGAAAAATCATTTCATGACACATTTACGGGGGTCATGAAACGATTTTCCTACTTCTTCCTCCTTAGCTTTAATCCTCAACTCAAATGCGGATTGTGAAATCACGTGGTCGTGACATTCCTTCGGCACCGGTGCGATGACTCCTAGCTTCCACCGTGCTTTTTACGCACACCGTAGAACTTGTCATTCCCCAGTGACGATAAGTTCCGTCAGGGCACTCATTGGCCACGAACGCGAATCCAAATATTCGTCGACGGGTTGATTGTTGACGAGCGCATACGTCCGAGTGACGCAGCTCTCGTGTCCAATGCGTGAGCTGGGCTCTGCTGACGTCAGTTTGGCGCCGGTGACGCGCTTTTGGAACCGCGGATGTATCATAGTGAAAAGGCGGAGAGCTTTCGAAGGCAAGAAGGTACAAAATAGTCCGCTATATTTTCAAATGTTCGTACCGAAAATCTGGCTTTTGACTTTCTAGCCTTTCTTTTGGCCAACTAAACGATATGCGATTAGTAAAGTCCCAATTTAAAATCATTCATCCCAACCCAAAATTCGTTTTATGGGCCCTTTAAACTCCTTTTCTTTTCTTTTTTTCTTTTCTTTTTTATGCGAAAGGTTTTTTTTATTGCCTAGTTGCCTTTCTAGTGCGCCATGGGGTGATAGTGCTTGAGGCAAAACGGGTTCACGAACTGGAAGACTTCTTGGCGCGTCAAAAAACCGTTCAAAAACATCTCTTTTTTTTTTTTTTTCGTTTAGAGTGTGGACCTTCGGGTAAAAAAAAGGGGGGGGGGGGCCCAAAAGTCAGGCTCATGATCAGGCATTTAAAAAAGTTGCAGCTCTAAACTTAAATTTGTCGTAAGATGTGCTGGTATAACGTCAGAAAACACTATGTATTCCACGAGATTAATTTGAAAGGTTCAGTCGAAGCATTCAAGCCTTTTCAAACATCTTGATGCGACGTCTCAAAAACTAGATCAACCAAACCAAAAGTCGATAATTGTAGCGACCCCGTTCCATTCCTTGTTGTACTCTTCCGTTTTTGTTCTGTGTTCATTATGAGCTATCACAACGAGTATGACTTCCATGGCGAATAGTGCATAATATCGCATTTGATTGCGAAGAACAGTGCCCCAAATTGTATTTGGGCAATACTTTAAATACAAGTATTTCAAATACTAAACCATGAGGATTTAAATACAACTGACAAATACATTAGCCAGTATTTAATTACATACGAAATACGAGTATTTTATATCCGTATTTCGAACACTTGTATATAAAATTCTGCACATCCCTGCCGCGAACGAATGCCAGATTTCGTCGGTCGTTTCTCTCACTCCGAGAAAACTGTGCTTCCGCCCACGGACAGATTCTCCCTTCTCCGTGGCGTTCCAGATGCTCGACGGAGGAGCAGTACCGGAAGAAGGTGCAGCTCCTCAAGGCCGTTGCCGCCTTGGCCCAGGAGTGCGGCTACAGGCCCAAGGTCCTGCCCCGGAAGGCCCCTCCCGCGCGCCGGGGCTCCGTCCGGGGCTTCTTGCCGTCCGCCGCACCGCCGCCGATCCCCGCCGGCGGCACGACCACCTCCGCCTCGGACCTGCGGGACGTCGCCACCGTGAATGCGTCGGCGGCGGGAACGCTGGAAAGCAGCGTCGACTTGGAGTCTGCCAAGTCCACGCTCTTTGCCAGCAAGAGGTCTTACTCCCCGACGGGTACGCGCGCCTTGGGTGTGGTCACTTGGCTCGCAGCTCATGACTTCGTTGTGGGCTAGAGGAATACCTCGCGGGAGAGATTCCGAGTCATCGAGGTCCAACGAGTCAAGAGATTTAACCCGTCAAACGATCAAGTATCGGACCTTTGATCTCTCGTCTTGTTGGATATTTTGACTCGACGATCACGTGCCTGGTGGCCCTCCTGTCTCGTTGAACCTCTCGACTCGTATCTCTTGTTCGTATCTCTTGACCAGAGACGCCTAGGAGACATTGCCCGCGCATTACGTTTTCGTTAGTGGATCCCCGACACCCTTACGGCATAGGGTTTATGAACAGAAATTTCTCGATACTCCCGCAAGGCCCCTTGGTGACCCCACAAGGGATACCGGGCGTCGCTATCATGGGGCCGTTAAAGGGCCGGTGCAACGATATTCAAAGGGAATGTCTCACTTCAAACGAGCTTACTGGCACTAGTAGGACTCAACGATACTCACACGCAACGCCACTGGCCAAGAAATTCCTTTGTTGAGGTGTAATTTCAAGGACAAAAGCGAGCGTTTCATTTAATCTCTCCTTCGCGAAGCTTGATGACGCAGTTGGGCGGTAGCAGTACCGCCGGTGACGATATTTAAATGCGGCTCATAAATCGGATCCGAGCATTGCGTAGGCACTGGATTTGGGCCCGTGTCCAATCGCCGCGATGACGACATTAGCCGAGCCGTAACAATGTCTGGAACTCGGCGCGTGTCCTAGTGCCTTGCCAACCCCAGCGCGTGGCTATGATCAACATTGGCGGCATATTATCGGCACCAGATGACGTGGCCGCTTGGTCTTGCTGCGAGTTGAGGGGGTGAACACTGCTCGTTCTTCTTTAATTTTTTTTAGGACTTCGATTGCGTGTGGTGAGAAAAGAACGGGTGTTTCACAGGTCATTCACGGCAGTGATCCGTTCTAAGCGGTATCTGCGCATAGTACAAAAATCGTTTCATCGCCCCTTTAAGCAGTACGCTGGGGCCCACTGTGATCTCTAATCTATTGGGCAGGAGATCGAACTATAGGGGGCGCTCTGACCCGTTTGTTTTCCCCACGCTCGGTGTTTACGCCAACACAAGGCCTGTGCGCATGCAGACAGGCCTTATGGGCATGTTCATGTCATCTTCTACAATAGAGTGCGGGGCACAGTGTAATCTTAAAAAATACTAACAATCGACGAAGCGACGGTAAGTGCCGGATCTATCCTCAGAGAATGCGAGCTTGACCCACTTCGGCTTTTGTGCTGAGCTGGGACCGTGCATGCTGCATTGTTAATGCAGGCCGTAGTGGAAACAAAAGAGCCCCTCCTCCCCACACCGGAGAACACGAACTCCAGCCGAACGCTGACGCCGCGTTCGGTTATGTCGGCCGAGCGCTGCGTCATGGTATTTGTTGTCCCCATCCGTGCAGTTCTAAAGTTAACCGCTTGGCGCGTCACGGTCTGTCCTCCTCCCCAATTCCCATTGTGAGTTGAGAACACAATAAAAACAAAACAAACGCATTAAAACAAAAACTATAGTACTCTGTTTTGTTGTTGTGGTGCCTTCTTCGCCTTTGACAATTGAAAAATTATAAACCAACGCGAACAGCTCCCTCCCTCACGCGCCATGCATCGGGTTGCAGTAATCCGTCAAAAAGACGGTGCGCGCGGCGTATTTTCGGAATGATATATTGCTCTATCACTCTCAAATTGAAACAAAAAAAGTATGTCTTTGTTTTGTGTAAAAACTTTGAGGGACATTATGGGCGTTTGATTTGAACTTTCACTACTCAGGTCCTCAGTGGTTATAGCTTTGTCTGTCTTTGTCTATAGAACACAAACTTCCTGACGCCAATATTAAAAAAAAAAACAAAAAAAAACAACTTTAAATTGATTGTAAAATTAAAATAAAGTTGCATCGTTCATGCAGTTTGCGAGAAGTTAATATGACTACTTCTGTCGTACAGCTCCGATTTCGTTAATGCACAGTTGACTGCTCACTTGAGGCGCTTAACGCACATAGACCTTTCACCAAATTATCCAAGCACCAAGGAAAATCCTGAGAGCATAAAGGTATACGGGAAGCCTCTGGAGGCAACATGACGCTGTGGAGGGAGGAACACGCCTTCCAACGATGACCAAAACCAAGAGACGCTATTGGACGAAAAAGAAAGTTGACTTTGCGCCAACCTTTTTCGTCCATTAGCGTCTTTTGGTTTTGGTCATCGTTGAGGGCCCGTTCCTCCACGGCGACATGTCACCTCCATAAGCTTCCTACCTCCATCCCTGGGAACGTAGGTATCTCGCGTTGCACGTGCTCGCCTTTTATGTATAAACGATTCTGAGTTAACCAAGATAAGGCGTTGACGGACAGACGTGCAAAGCGCGATATGTTTTAGACTTTTGCTTTGGAAAACTTGCTGCTGCAGACGCCGGCACGTGCAGCGCGTGTAACTACACTCGCGGCAGGTTTTTTGGTGCTTGTGTACTTTAGCAAAAACTATAGGCCTTTCCCAAAAAGGCTTTTTAGCTGGTGTCAGTTTTAGTGTCCAAAAGTATGGTGCGCGCTTTGCTCGCTTTCCAAAACGACAAACTCGCGCGTGCTGGGCTGTGGAGATCGTGCACGCTGTGGCGTTGCAAACATTGGAATGGTGAATAGTGGCCAAAAAAAAATTGGGTTGTGTGGATGTTTATACAGCCTAGAACTTGGTCTGCCTCACAGGGGCGACGAGTCTCCCAGCTGTAGATGAGAAATTTAGCCAGTGCGGTACAGCCGCTAGCCTGGGGTCTTTAACGTGCATCATGCAGTAGTGATACACGACCGCACGCCGGTACGATGCTCCACGAGTGCACACCTGCCGTTGTACCGTTCTATGTTTACTGTGTACTACGCCTATTTATAACGAAACTCGCAGGAACGCTTCATTCGATAACGTTTTATTTTTCTGGAGTTCAAAATGTATGACCATTTTCGGCAGAAGTGGTATATACCATATGAAATCTTAAGATATATCACTTTTTTTATGGGCAGCTTTGCATGATGCAGCGATCCTGTCACCGACCGGTCTCTTGATGCAAGTGTACGTGGAGGAGACCGAGGATGCGCCCGCCTCACCAGTCAGCGGCTCCGAGGGTCAGCCGAGCGGTGGCCGAGAAAAATCGCCGGAGCCGAACGCCGGACCTTCTTCGGAGAAGACCGCCGAAGAGATCAACCTGCAGTGGACGCCCCCATCTCAACGTGAGGCGATTTCTTACACTGGTTTCTCCAGACATCCGATGAGTTTTATTCTTTCTTTTTTTGTTTTTGTTTCGAAGGACTTTGTTCACATTAAATGCCGCGGTGGATAGTTGCATGCGGCGCCCACAGCCACCTATCGAGTGCTTTTAATTTCAACTATTAACTTCTGCCTAATAGCGAAAACGACATGGTTAAGCATTTTTATATTGGTGCTTCTACATCTCTGCGCGAATACTTCGTGCGTACATGCGGGCGATCTTTTACCTGTGATCTTCGGGCACTGCTCGGTGGACCGTGGCTGCTATACCCGAGCCTTGTTACTTGGTATCTTGTAGTATTTATTCCTTCCAGAAAAAAATAAGAGTTTGTTAAGGATACCAGTCATGCTGAAGAGAAGGTTACACAACTTTTGGACACAACGAAACTACACGTTAATAACTAAACGGCATGTTTTTTTTTTGTTTTTTTTTCACAAGTAACCAGTTGGCGAAACGCTTCGACGTATAGACCATTCCATTCAGCGCTCTCTGGGCGGCACCATTTTGTTCGACCGCAGCGCCCTCTCCACACATCCGGGAAGTTCAGCGGGTTCGGTGGGGTAAAACGAGAGAGAGGGCACGCGCCAGACTCCGCTAGCAGGCGACAAACCGGGAGGTTGCCGTTCTCGGTTCTCCATCTTTGGGCTGTATCGGCGGGCTCTACCGAACATCGAACTCTCGCTCGTGGCTGTCTTTGTGAAGTGGTTCGCGTTCTTAGAATAGTTGTGGCTACTGCAAAATCAGCCTATAGCTCTCTGTTGTTCCATTTTGCTAAATCATCAACTAGCATATCTTTTTTCCGTTACTTAAATAGCAGTTGAGTCAGCCGGCAGTACTACCCTCAACTACTGCGTGTATTGCGGCAGGAGAGCACGTTTTATTTATTATTTCAGACTTCCACTCATGATTGCTAAAGGCCTACATTAGTACGAACTTTGTATAGTAAACAAGGTACAGTAACCGGACTTACTTTTCGCCAAAGAGACCGGCCAATCTGACACAGTTTTCCCTATTGTTTTTTTTTTTTTTTTATTTGCACGCTGGTAACAGCGCAATCGGACCCTGTGAGTCTTTTTATCTAGCATAATATTACACGACAACTGGCATACCAAAATCTGCGCATCTGCGCTTGAAAGTTCCAAAATGACGCGATTTTAAACAGAGTTTGCACGCCAGCCGGACGCTAGCTACAGCCCACTCGGCGGAGCGGACGACATGCGGGGTTGGAGGGGAAGTGTATTTTTTTCTCTTTTATCCTCTCTGCTATGACCCTAATGGAACGGTCTATAGCGTTCAGCAAATTATACCCTCTCCATAATCCTATATACTCATATAGCTATAAACTTATAAAGCTCCGAAGATGTCTATTATCACATCTCTAATCTTCCTTAACCATATTTTCTGCCAAGTTACGGGTGTTTTGTATTGAGTTTTGTTTAAAGGGAAACTACTGCCAATTTTAGAACTCTTGAGCTTTTGTGCTAGTTAGCTGGAAAACTTTATGCCGGTGACGTCATTCGGTGCGTTCCGATAGAGGGTTGTTGTGACAGTGTGCATTCAGCCACGGCCCAATAATGCCAGCGACAGACGCCGCCTCGCTCTGGTTGTTGTTGGGCTAAATTAAACAGGTACACGGATTGCCTCAGAGTATTCCCGTCGCCTCCTTAGCGGGGGCATGACTTGTTCAGGTCTTCGGTTGTCTAGAACAGGGTCTCCGAATAACGGCCCGCGGCCCGCTTCCGGCTGAAAAAAATGAGCGCACGTAAAGGAACGGCGCCGCGACGCGCAGCAAACTAATCGTATCCGTTCTGAATGTATATCCCACTGATAGTTTCGTGTCATATTCATTGTCCATTGTCGTCACCACCATTACCAGTCTTAGTCATCTGTGTTATGTCGGTTTAACTGCGTTAAATTTCTTTTGCAATCTTACGTATAATATTGTGCTTATATAGTGTCACTCACAACTCTCGCATATTTTTATCAGGAGTTCTACCATCCTCAGTAGATTTCTGCCCCTTTTGAATAAGACGAATTTCCTATCCGTCTTGATTTATACCTGGCGTGTTTTTTAAGCCAAAAATAATGTTTAATGTCATAATTAGCTAATTGTAATGTCAAGACAAAGTATATGTATTCATTCAACTTATATATATATATATATATATCTTTTTTACTATAATCTGAATTTATGCATCTAAAGGGTTATCGACTTTTTTTTTATCGTCGTCTTATTTGTGGTGATCAGCCAGAGTCAGAAGCGCACTGGATGTCTTGTAGTAGAGAGGCGGTTTGTAAACACATATTGCTCTTTCTTATTACGTGATATGAGAGAACCAATCGATGCAGTTAGCACTGACTTCACAGTGCCGGCTGCTTCGTAGCAATCATTGACCTAATGAATGGATATATCGTTCTTCCGTGCGTTGGAGTTTTAGATGGTAAGAAACGAGCATCGAGCTTGAACCCCTTCGCGACTCGAGCAAAACGGACGCCACCTAGCGGAAAAACTCTAAACTGGCTGGAACCGCTTTTTTTTTTTTTTTTTCGCGATTTCATGCTTGTTTCTTGTGGCTTCCGTGATTACATGTTGTCGGTCGTTTGGACGATAAAACAATTGTCCCGGTGAGTCTGTAAATTGTAAATTGGTGTGTGTATGTACAGCCTGCACTCAGTCTGCCTCAACGTGCGACTTGTCTCCCAGCTGTAGATGATAAATTTAGACAGTGTTGTACAACCGCTAGCCTGGAGTATTTAATGTGCACCACGGAGTAGCGACACACGACCGCACGCCGGTACGAAGCTCATCCAGATCGAAATAGGCAGGGGTGGGCATTGAGCCCAGGATCCCTGGGTTCTGCAGCGCAAGCTTTCGCTCCATGCACGTGCTCCGAGCTGGTGTGCGCTAGCCCACTCGGTCACCGATCCACCTCGGTGAGTCTCTCGTAACTGTAGTGTCAGCTTGTTCCCAGGTTGCGCTGCACGTCACCTACGCAACCGGTGAACCAGACATTCCGCGTTTATCAACGTTCATCAGCACCGTGGAGGGACAGTATAGGCAGTGCTTTCATCGCTTCCTCAAAGAAAGTCAAGCCCCTGGAAGCATCGCTTACGTCAACAAATCGCCGCGGGTTCGAAACGTGGAGAATAAAAAGCGGGGCGAACCATTTCGAGTTCAATGCTTGCTTGCTGATGCCCCAGCGTTGTGCGTTGAGTGACGCATGGCACGGCACGACCCGTATAAGACCGCCATATTTGCCCCATTGTGTCGTCGCGTGTATCATCGTTGGAGCCGCGAATCGTGTGAAGCTCAGCGGAATCTTTTGTACGAATACTGCATCCGGTTCTGTGTGTGCTGGATTTGTACATATAAATAGGTGTTGCGGATGTCTCTAAAGTCGGTAACATGTTCGGAATTCAGTAGGTGCCTGCTGCACGAGCCTCCTGCCCTTGATAGCAGAAGGAAGCGAGCTCGAGCTGCAGGTGGTGCATCAAATGGAATTCCTAACCTGTCATCACCTATAGTCCCAGGCAATTCGAAGACGATGGAACAAAATGGACTCATATGCTCTGCCCGTGGGCACTGCTTGTTCGTGGCGCGTACTTATTATCACCTTAAAATCCCGAATGATCACCCACCTTACATTTTTGTTTGCAGTTTGATCTCTTCGCCGTGGATGGGTGTTTATATTCGGGGGTTTGTTTGTGCGCAGGCAAGAGGCGGCAAGACAGGTCCGGCATCGAGTACATTCGGAAGCGGTTCCTGTGGGACGTCGAGATGCGCCAGAAGGAGCTCGCCCTGGAAGCCCGGCGCCTGGCACTGGACGCCCGGAGGCTCGAGCTGGAGGAGAAGCGATTCAAGTTCGAAGAGCGCAGACTCGCCGACGAGATCCAGCTTCGGGCCCAGGAGAGGCGAGAGCGCGAAGAAGAGAAGCACACCCGACTCGAACAGATGCGCCTGCTGCTCGAGCAGCAGGAGATCAACATACAGCTCTTAATTAAAGAAACCAACAAGTGACTATATACCTAAATGCTTCCCGCGCGTATGCCACCACACTCTTCATCAGGGTAGCCTTATACTTCGTTTCCTTTTACGACGGACCGCAGACCACACGCTACGAGCCATCAAAGCCAATCAAATGACGTGTGACCGTCGCGTGACCTTCGGGAGAGGAGCAGTGACGCGCGAAGCAAGTCGTTACGTGACACGTTCGCAACGTTGGATTGGCTGGAATGGCTTGTAGTGTCCGCCGTGGTTCATCGTGACGTGAAACGGAATCTAGGCATTGTTTCCAGAAGCATTTTTTTTCCTCTGTCTCTCCATCCCTTTTGTGCTACTGGTGCCTGGAGCGCGTGCTCGACTGGTTTGTTTTCCGTCCTATCCCTCACACATCAAGAGTTGTCCAGAGATGGCGACAAATGACCTCAAAGAAACCGCCGTGTAATGTTGTCGGATGTCGCAATCCTGGCGGTTGGTGCTGGAAGTCCCGGCGAAGAGCACGAGCGAACAGGAGCGTCGCTGTTGTTGCGGAGTTCCAACCCCCGGCTACCGAAGTTTCAGTGGACTGCCAAGCTGCAGCCAAACAGGCGTCTGCCACAACCTCCACCGCCGCTGTGACACCGCCCGTAGCGTGAGTGGCGACAACAGGACGCTTATTTGACGAAATCACACGGAAATCGAGGGACCACTTTTTAGGGCGCGGCACACGCACCAGTCGGAAACGCGTTTGAGGCATCATATGTTGCAACATAGGAACCGTGGGAGAGGCTGTGCCCAGTCAACAGTGGGATTGTCTCTGCTACAAGAGAGCAGCTGTTCAACCACTCTTGGGGTCCCTTCTGGGGTGGAGGAAAGAAGAGGTACCGCGAGACTGAAATTCTGACATGGACTTTTATTATCAGACTGTGAGCTCGGTACGGGCGCTCACCCTCTTGGGCACTGGGCGGGTACATTGGGCCTGCCTTAGATTTTTGCTTTTTTTACAGAACTCTTGGCATCGGTGTTATTCTTGGAGCTTCGTGACGATGCATTTATGACGTTCCTGCACTACGATGTGCTAAGGTCTTTAACGAAATCGGAGTCTTGCAAAGAGCGCAGCCCCCTACTGTGTTATGGCGTCGGCCAAAACAAACATGGCGGCCCCCATGGAACAGAGCAAACACTGGTTTGCGTCAACTACTATGTGTTCCGTTGTCAAGGCTTACATGGCTACGCATGGTTCCCACTAGGGTGCCTTCATGTGCGCTTTGCTTAGGGTGGAGACATCTCGCCATTTTGTCCCACACTTTTATTTTTATTTTTTGTTCAGAAGCGCGTGAAAGAGCGTGTCCCTGCACGCGTTTCTGGCGCTGACTGTGCTATGGCGACATTTTGTTTTCGCCGATTTCTTTGTATTTTACCCGTGAGCGCGTGCTGTCGGCATCAGGTACTACAAAGGGTGGCATCACCCTAAACAGAAGGACATTGAGGCACCCTAGTTCCCACAGGGCTGCAGCCCGCACTGTTGGAGAGCACGTGCACGTGACTTCCTCTTGCATTCGTACGCTCTTATAGCCTCGACAATGCATCATAAAATAGTTGACGCCGAGCATAGTAAACTACAAATGTTTCTTAAGTATAGATGTCCCAGCTATACTTTTTTTGTCGTAAAAGCGCTAAGTTAACACAACACATAAATAACCCTTTACTTTTCATCGAGGGCCAGGAAAGATAAACGTTGGTATGCCCGCAAGGCGGGGAGTTGCGGCTGCGCCCACCAACAGGCGCTTCAAATTCATCTCTCTTTTGTTTTTCTCCTTGACGCTTCATATATTTATTTTCTTTTTTTGTCGACCCAGCTTTTTGCCTCGAGTCGTTCAATTACCCACGACGTGGCACAACGCTGTGCGAACAAGAGCCCGGGGAAGCTCGCGGAGCGTCACCAAAGGCGGTGCCGTCGCCGTATACCAAGAATGCACACAATGGCCACGGGGAGTTGCCGCCGCCGAAGAGACTCGGGAGAGCGGCCCTACCGACGACGGCGTCGGTCCGTCCCCCGTGGGCCGACGGTGTCGCGAACGTGCCTTCCTCTCCTCGGGGCGCCATTGTCGGCCCCGGACAATGCGGGCCCGTAACGTCCGCACCAGCCGTGAACTTCTTTCACGTCGTCGGTGTCGCTCTGCGGGCTTTCGGTGCGGTTCCCAGATGCCGCCGGTCGCCGCTACCGGCCGCGAAAGAAGAGCTGAAAGATGCGCGCGACACGACAATGCACTTTTTTTGTGGTGGTGTGCCCGCATACTGCTTCCGCGCAGCCCCGATCTTCGTGAGCTACCAAAAGTATAGTCTCAGCTTCGCTTCTAAGTTCGACCGGAGCTGACGCTACGATCGATAGAGCCAGCACCAAGACTCTGTTGTCACGGCGGTCATAATTTTTGTGCATTGACTGTCACCGATTAAAGGGATACTTCAACGAAATTTGAAATATTCCCGTCGTGTTCAAAAATAGGTTGAATATTATCCACAATATCTGTAAATGACAATCGCACGTTTGTATTTTGAGCCTGGTGGCTGTATTTTTCGTTATAAACGGCCCACTCTGGCAAGCGCTCGGAGAAGGCCCAGCGGAGACCACGTGACATCCAACGCAATCGTGACGTAGGTCGTCTCAAGACGAGCAAAGCTACGGCGAGGCTGACGTCGAGAGGATGGCCTAGTCGTTCCAGCCACCGAAGCGGCTGCTTTTGTGCAAATTTTGAGTGACGGGTTAATCTTCTATAATCTTGTAGGGGGACAATAGCGACTTCTGTGACACACAAAAGGCATTCTCGGGAAGAGGGTAGTTCCTCGTTCTCCTCTTCTCTCGTCGTGGCCGGAGGCGAGACAACCTCCGTCACTAGCTGCCAAGGTTGCTAGACGGGCATTTCAAGCGAGGCGTTAGCGACATCCACCAGGTGCTCTTTGCTAATCGTTTAATTCGTTTTAAAATTCCTTTTCGTGACTTTTTTAACAAAATTTTGGTATGTTCGATTTGATGGTGCTTTTTTGAACACATATAGACCAAAAATGAGTGCCGAAATTTCGTTGTAGTATCCCTTTAAAGCAATTACGCACAGCGTATTTGCCGTGACCTTACGTGTTTTTTTTTGTTTTTTTTTGCGTGATTGGTTTAGCTTGTGATAGCAAACACTTCTGTTCTGCGAATATCGAATAGTAGTTTCGAATATTACGCTATTTGAAATTCGCTTCGACATGAACTGCGATATTCGTATTTTTCGAAGTGTTGATAGCACGCCGGGTTAACTCTGTTAAGTGTGCTTTTCATCGAGCACCGGTGTACGGCGGAGAAGCCAACCCCGCGGAAGCGAGCTTCGCGGGTGTTGCTTCTCCGCAGTGGCCCGGTGGTCGGTAAGAAGCGCACCCAAGGGGCTAACCCTCCGCGGTCAACACCTGGAAAAGTGAGAATATTGCAATTGCGTGCTTGGGAGAAAAGCACACTTTCAAAGTGGGATGGTGCACGCGCGCCCCTGGTGCATTTAGAAAACAAAACAGAAACTTTGTGAATGTTGATATTTACATTGCAATAAAATTGTCAAAAGTGAACTGGTTGTTAGGCAAGGGTATATGTTAGAGATTCCCACTATGCAAGAGTATAGGTTAGTGAGAGATACCCATGCTCATCATTCGTGATTTTCTTTTTTTTTTTTCAAACTCTGGATTGAAGAAAAAGATTGCAAATGACAACGTTTGTAAATCTGCTCACTTGGGTATAGTTGGGCGTCTTTACAGGTTTAATTTTATGTCAAATCGGGGATTTACTTACCATTTCAAGGCATCGGACTTTTCTGAGGTCACAGTTCATAAATATTGTTAGATTAATATTAGCTCATAAATAGACGAATCGCGAGTGGAAGTTTGGGAACAACCTTCGAGAGCTTAGCTGGGTTTTTCATTTAAGCACGGCGTAACAGTAGTGAAAGACTTGGAGAAACTATTCGATATTCGAATCGAAAATATTCGGCCGAAATTACTATTCCCTTCGAATTCGCCTCGAACTCAGTCCAATATTCGCACATGACCAGGAAACACACAAAGAGAACGAGCTCCGTGACGACGCAGTTTTAGTGCTTCTCGATTAACTCAATCCTTCGTAGCGTTGGCAGAAAACAAACTTAAAGTGAAAAGTATTTTTTTTTTAATATATAGTGAGTTTTGCGAAGCGCGTGGGGAAAACCAATCCCTCCCACGTAAAACAACAACAACAACAAGAGTTTGAATTATGTTTCTGGGCTTGACGTAATCACGTCAAATGTCGTGCTAAGTGTCACGGCGCAGAGGGTTATTTTAGTTCCAAACATATTTTCGGTTGCGTCATTCGCCAAGTTACCTCCGTAGATTGCAGCGATTGGTTCTCTCGAGTGCATTGCCGGAAAGTAGGCGCACCGTATTTCTTAAGAGTGTGTTTGGGCGGGTCGTAATCTCGCACAAAGTTTTGAATGCTGTAAAATTGAAGTGCACTCACTTGCTCACAAAAAGGGCGCGACGATTTTAGCAGCTAAGTAAGATTAGGTTAGGTTAGATGAGCGGCTAAAATTATCCAAAGCCGCCGTGCTTTTTGCTGTGCGTGTACGCTGCTCACGAAACGCCGAAGCGTTACCATTTAAATCCCGTAGGCGACTATGTACCTTCCCAGCGCTTATCACACAGGCCAAAAATGCTGGGTCATCGTGCTGTGGAGGCATGCACGGAGTATGATTATTCCGCAGAAGAGGGCAACTGCGCATGCTCAGAACGCATTCCACAGCCCAGTAGGCAAAGATCGCGGTGCTCAGAAGGCGGATTTTGTTACGGTCTTTCGTTCCCTTAGTAAGTTTGCTTTCCTGCCCCGTGAATGTATACAAGAAAATGCGCCGCGATTATTGCTTACGTTTACGAGAATAACTCATCTTTTCATTTGCTTAAAATGAGAAAAGTGCGTCCACGAAAGTAACATAAGGACAATTGCGCGCAACCTGTTTTGCTCGTCGCGAGGTCCGCCTGATGAG